CACTCTTTGTTATATTGCAGCCATTTGCTAAAATCCTTTAAGTTCATTTTTTTTCCTCATTAATGTACATACAGCACCCCATATTGACAGAAAAACACAGCATTGTTGACATTTTTGCAGATTTATTAAAAAAGAAAAACTGAAATATCAGATGGTCCTAAGTATTCAGACCCTTTGGTCAGTATTTAGTAGAAGCACCCTTTTGATCTAATACAGCTATGAGTCTTTTTGGGAAAGATGCAACACGTTTTTCACACCTGGATTTGGGGATCCTCTGGCATTCCTCCTTGCAGATCCTCTCCAGTTCTGTCAGGTTGGATGGTAAACGTTGGTGGACAGCCATTTTTAGGTCTCTCCAGAGATGCTCAATTGGGTTTAAGTCAGGGCTCTGGCTGGGCCATTCAAGAACAGTCACAGAGTTGTTGTGAAGCCACTCCTTCGTTATTTTAGCTGTGTGCTTAGGGTCATTGTCTTGTTGGAAGGTAAACCTTTGGCCCAGTCTGAGGTCCTGAGCACTCTGGAGAAGGTTTTCGTCCAGGATATCCCTGTACTTGGCCGCATTCATCTTTCCCTTGATTGCAACCAGTCGTCCTGTCCCTGCAGCTGAAAAACACCTCCACAGCATGATGCTGCCACCACCATGCTTCACTGTTGGGACTGTATTGGACAGGTGATGAGCAGTGCCTGGTTTTCTCCACACATACCGCTTAGAATTAAGGCCAAAAAGTTCTATCTTGGTCTCATCAGACCAGAGAATCTTATTTCTCACCCTCTTGGAGTCCTCCATGCGGGCTTTCATTTGTCTTGCACTGAGGAGAGGCTTCCGTCGGGCCCCTCTGCCATAAAGCCCCGACTGGTGGAGGGCTGCAGTGATGGTTGAGTTTCTACAACTTTCTCCCATCTCCCGACTGCATCTCTGGAGCTCAGCCACAGTGATCTTTGGGTTCTTCTTTACCTCTCTCACCAAGGCTCTTCTCCCCCGATAGCTCAGTTTGGCCGGACGGCCAGCTCTAGGAAGGGTTCTGGTCTCAAATGAAGGTGTAGAACCATCTCAAGGATGATCAGAAGAAATGGACAGCACCTGAGTTAAATATATGAGTGTCACAGCAAAGGGTCTGAATACTTAGGACCATGTGATATTTCAGTTTTTCTTTTTTAATAAATCTGCAAAAATGTCAACAATTCTGTGTTTTTCTGTCAATATGGGGTGCTGTGTGTACATTAATGAGGAAAAAAAATTAACTTAAATGATTTTAGCAAATGGCTGCAATATAACAAAGAGTGAAAAATTTAAGGGGGTCTGAATACTTTCCGTACCCACTGTATGTATATATATATATATGTGTGTGTGTGTGTGTATGTATATATATGTATATATTCAAATATATATATGTGTGTGTGTGTGTGTGTGTGAGAACTTAAAACATGAAAATGAAATATTTTAAAGTTTGGGGAAAGTGTAAGAAATTCATACTTTTATTCAGAAAGGTTGCAATAAATTGAGTAACAGGAAAGACTTTCTATTCATCAAAGAAACCTGAAAATTGGATCATGGTTTCCCCAAAACAAAATTAAGCAGCACCAGTTTTCAGCATTGATGATAATAATAATTAGTGGTCAATATTTAGCATCTTTCGGCACTCCGGACTTTTATTTTGACAGCGCTGAGAATGGCAGCGCCTGAGCAATGCAATTTTAAAATATATTAAAATAGTTTAAAATATCATAATAATTCACAATATTACTATTTTTCTGTATTTTTCATCAAATAAATGCAGTATTGGTGAGCTTAAGGAACAACCCTAGACTTTTGAACAGTAGTGTGTATATGTATAATAGTGTGTATATTAGATATTAAGATATTTTTTTCTCTTAAGATAGTTTTTCTCTTTTGATTCTGTAGACAAAATATATGCCAGCTTTTACGAATAGTGTACTATGTTTCAGGCATTTAATCACCCTCATATTGTTCCAAATCTGTATGACTAAACACAATATAAGATGGTTTGAAGAATGTTCACGCTGCTCTTTTTCATACGTCACATCTATATAGTGACAAGGGGCTGATCTAAGTAAAACCAAACTTCATTATTCCCTAAAGATCCTACCCACATCTGTCATTTTTAGGGGCTCATTGAAGGATAAGAATGGCTAACTGTCTGTGTGCCATCAGTAGAACTCTGGGAACATGATTATGCATTTTTCTGAATGATGCATCGTTTTGTTATATCTAAATTCCTCCTGTTGGGTGGTTGATTCCATGTAGCTTCTGGTTGCTGAATGCATAAAGGAAACAACTAGGAAGTGATATCTGACAACATAATCGCATTGACATTGTGTGAGTGTATGCCATCTTGTATTACTTTCCCCTGGAAAGAATCGCTACTGTATTATTCTGAGAGAATTTCAAACATGTTATTGTAAAATATGAAAGGACTTTAGTGAGCAATTGTTTGCAACTAAAGACATGGTGAAAAGCCATTCAGATGTGTTCAAATGTGTTTCAGTAAGATTCAGTTTCAGTAAGATTCATAATTATGTTTCAATAAAGAAACGTATTACTGCCCGAGCCGTGAGAATGTGAGTGGTTACGTGTTTCTGTTGATTCTGACTAGGGATATGCCGGTATCAAATTTTCATGTTGCGATTAATTGCTAATGCTTTTATCACGGTATACGGTATTATCACGATATTTAAATTTAGTTTAAAAAAGTGCTGTCATAATACAGTATAACAGGTTTAATAACTTTTTTCTTATAACAAAAATAACTGAACATTTAAATGCAATAAAGCAATACAGAAAAATTTATAAAGTTAAGTTTTACACAGATTAAAGTGCAAAAGAACTATAAAGACCAATAGGTATCACTTTACAATAAGACCTCATTAGTTAACATTAGTTAAGCCATTAACATTCACAATGAGCAATAGCTACATTTGCTACAGAAGTTATTAATCTTTGTTTAAAATATACAAGTCTTAGTTCATGTTAGCTCATTAAATAACACAGTTGCAACTTTCTTTATTAATGATATATTAATATATTCATGAATGTTCAGAAACATTTTTCATTGGCAGTTTATGTTAACTAATGAATTAAGTAATGTTAACTAATGAAGCCCTAATGTAAAGTGTGACCGAACAATAAAGAATCAAAACACTTTCAAACAATATCTAGGGCATGTTGTAGTCCAGATTAAAATTAAAAAAAAGTTTGAAAATAAATAGCCTATTAAGTCTAAATATTTGGTATCAAATACACAAATCTGAATGGCTGTTTAAAGCATTTAAACACCTTTCAGAAACAGAAAGTAGTGCAGCTGCTTTGTTTACAGGGTTTCCGGGGTAACGGCTGCATTTAAATGAATTATTATTATTATTATTTCTGCAGTTTAGTGCCGTCTGCTGTCAGAGAGTGAAAGTGCGCTTTCATCCAGAGCGTCTCACATGCTCCGCCATGTGCTTCTCGTCCGCGCTTATTTACATCAGAGTGCGCACGCGTCTTTCACGCAGAATACAGCGGTGTTGTGCATTTTGACCAGTTGATGGGAAAAGTATTTTTAAAATGCATTCAAAATTCGGAATAATTTATAATATAGAATTATTCACGGTATTTAGAAGTGCCCACGATAACAATATCGTGCATATTCATTACCGTGATATACCGCAATACCGAATACCGGCACAAGTCTAATTCTGACCATGTTCAGCAGTCTATGCCAACCCACAGTTCTCCAGATGTTGGCCTCTGTTGTATCGGACACAGCTCACATTGTATGTAGGATATTACACAACCGTTAGTTCTAGTCCTCTAATTTTATTGTACAATATATACTCTGAATGACAGCACAAATAACCCAACACAAATCAAATCACTGAACTGATAAGCCTTGTGGTTATTTCGCCATTTTGCTCATCAAACTTATGGCAAACAAACTTTTTTTAACATTATGGGAACAAGGTGTTGTTATGGTACATGTAATTCGGATACTAGAAAAAGTCCATTACACATATTTCCTTCGCGTTAATGTCAATATAGAGTGCTGCAGTGATGATCTATTTTTGCATGCCAAAAGTATTGACCGACAAAATTTTGATTCTTACATGTTTTGCTCATGATAATTTTCACAAATGAACACACAACTTTTATGAATTTTGAAGCCTAAATACAATAACTAGAAGTAAAAAGCTAAACACAGGCTATAAACGATGATATTTGATATATATTTTTTTATATTCTTTTGTTATTTAAAAAAGTTTGAGATAGAATACTTTGCAAGATCATGATTATAAACACAGTGAGGCTGTAAAAGTGGATTAGTGAATAGATGAGTTTACCTGTTCGGCATTATGACGATTAATGTCCCCGACAAGCTCTGTAGTCCCATTTAGCTATTTGCTTTACCAACTACCTTTTTCAAGGGAAGTAAAAGCATAAAAAAATAAATAAACATTTCAACATAACCTGATACAAAAACTTGCACATTCTGTTTTGTTTTTTTTGTGTGCATTTTATTCCAAAATCATCAGGTACATTAGCTAGCGAGCGTTGCAACGATGTAGTTTTTGACAGACAAAGATGGAGTACCCGCCCTTGAAAAGCGCTGGGCGTGATTAATTATTTACCGTTGTGAGGTCAATAGTGCTGTTGTAGTGAATGTCGGCACTCCCTGAGACCCTGTTTCTTACAGACGAATCACAGCCATTCAGCACAATTGCGTGTGTGATATTGCATAGTTAGAGTGGCATCCAGAAAGGTTTTGGAGTGTTCCCTAATTTTATGAGAGATGACAAAAGTAACATTATCTCCCCGTTTTTTCTAGGCGTCACGTTTAGTGGATGGCAGATTTACTCATCCCTGTCAGACACGTGAGCATAGAGCGCCTCGAAAATTTGCTGCTGCATTTATCAGTTGCTTGGAATGGCTTTTGTGAAATTCCACGTCATATTTCACTGCTCTCTGACCTCCCACTAGACATGGTCGTAATCTACAAGCTTTCTTCAATATTAATATGATGTCTGACAGTTCTCGGGTTCACCTATTACAGGGTTGGATGCACATGATGTGTCTCTGGATATTCACTGTAGTCTGTTCAAGGCCGCTGGTAATTAAGGGATGCAGTAAATTAAAAGATCATAGCTTTATGAGTATTATTCCTAGATAGTTTTATGCTGAGGCAAGCATTTCCCTTCTGGTGCTGTGTGTATGTTGTTTTGCTGCTTCTCTCTCTAATGAAGTCCTGATCAGCTCAAGGCCTCCATCTGCTTCTGTTTTAAGCTACGCTTTACCTTTCTTCTCTTCTGCCATACAAGGAAAACATGCTCTAATACCGGTGAAACGCTAGAACTCACAGAACCGTAACAAACATTCCACAGGATCATCTCGCTCCAGTGTGGCGCCAGTGCAGCAGTGCATCGCTGGAAAATTCTACTCCATCTGTGCAGTTGTCTTCTGACATTTTGAAGCGGTGCCTCATAAACCTAGTGAGCTGCCTACCTATACATCAGCTTCATAAATAATTTTGCTTATTAATTAATGGACAAAAATCATGGACAGAAACTACTATTAGGTATCATAGGTGCATTTGATTATTCAAATGAAATTGCGAAAAGGTGTCTAGGTGGAAACTCAGTAGGGTTTGATACAGCACTTGCTTGATGGTATGGAGTACATTTATTAATGTTTTGGTCAGAACATCTGCACTAGGGTTTGAGACACAGCCTTTGCGTGACAATATTGGATTAATTCTGAACCAAAGTGTTCATGCTTATTTGCATTTTTAATTAGCACTTCTCAAATAATTTTGCTTATTAATTAATGGACAAAAATCATGGACAGAAACTACTATTAGGTATCATAGGTGCATTTGATTGATTATTCAAATGAAATTGCGAAAAGGTGTCTAGGTGGAAACTCAGTAGGGTTTGATCCAGCACTTGCTTGATGGTATGGAGTACATTTATTAATGTTTTGGTCAGAACATCTGCACTAGGGTTTGAGACACAGCCTTTGCGTGACAATATTGGATTAATTCTGAACCAAAGTGTTCGTGCTTATTTGCATTTTTAATTAGCACTTCTCGTGTGAAGATGTTAGATGCGCTGGGAGGGACTTCCCATGCATCACCGAGCTGACCCCAGCAATAAGAGCGATTAGATGGTGACAGTGTAATTTTCACCTGACAAAGGCGCCCATTAGAAATGTTATGAATGAATAAATGATGCATTTATATAGAGCTTTATTGTGTATTGTTGTACACCCAAAGTGCTTTACAATTGGGGGGGGGTCCTTCACAATTGGGGGGGGGTCTCTCCTCAACCACCACCAGTGTGCAGCATCCACTTGGATGAGAATGGAGAAAAGCTGTTATGGAGTCTCATAACAGTTATAAAAGCAGAATTTGCATAGTGCAATTAAATGCATTTTGCTTTAATACGCTGCTCAACATCTGGAATTTATTTTTTTTGCTCCGTAAGCTCGAGGCTTTCAGTGTTCCTATTTAATCTTACGAGGCCTATGTGGATAAATATGAATTGTGTATGGGCAACAGGCAGGACTGCTTGTTTCTGGAAGGATTTGAATATTTATCGCATAAAGCAGATAAAGATTTAGGGCACATGAGCACAGCTTCAGAATGCCAGAGCAGGCCTGTGCTGGACTTTATTAGACTGGCCTTCTGAGATCCTGAGATTTTACCTTTTTAAATTGGCTGTCAAAATCACAAAGCCCATCAGATCGCAAACAGCTATGAATTCGTTTTTAAGCCATGTGCAATTTATCAGAAGAGAAACTGGGCTGAATACAATGAATATATTTGCTTTCTCCATTTCAGTCCCCCCTCACACACACTTTTTGATCTGTTTCAGTGCTCTCATGTTTTCATCTGTGATGATCAAAATGCCAAAATTTTTAAGGTTAAGGGTTCCAGCTATACAAACAATAGTTACTGTATATTGAGAAATTTAGCACTCTGTATCACCAAATGACCATTAGGCTCTACAAGTTCATAAGGACACATATTAAGTCAACCGTATTCACTAGGGGGGGGGGGGGGGGGTCTCTCCTCAACCACCACCAGTGTGCAGCATCCACTTGGATGAGAATGGAGAAAAGCTGTTATGGAGTTATCTCATAACAGTTATAAAAGCAGAATTTGCATAGTGCAATTAAATGCATTTTGCTTTAATACGCTGCTCAACATCTGGAATTTATTTTTTTTGCTCCGTAAGCTCGAGGCTTTCAGTGTTCCTATTTAATCTTACGAGGCCTATGTGGATAAATATGAATTGTGTATGGGCAACAGGCAGAACTGCTTGTTTCTGGAAGGATTTGAATATTTATCGCATAAAGCAGACGCAAACACTTCCTGCCCCAACAATGGCTATTTTTCTTAAACATTTCCAGATGTCACATCTCAGCTGCTGCAACCTTTATAAAAAATGTAATGAAATTGTTCTTTTGAACCGATTCTTTAAAAAAGTTCATAAAGGCATTAGTAATTCATTCGACTGTAAGGGAGAAATTTAAAAGTAAATCTGTGAGGTAAATAGTGGTATTATCTATATTTAATTTACCACACTTGTATCTTTATACTGTGCTTACAATCTTTTAAACTTTGATGCAAAAGTTGTTCTGCAGTGTTTGTGCTACACACATGAACGATTTCTCAAATTGTGCATCTCATTGATTTTCGCGTGGCAGATGATCAACGGACAGGTATTTTTATGTGGGAACCATATAACAACGTCTAGTGATCATTATATCATAGTGGGCTCAAAACAACCACCCAAAACATGCTAGCAATGGCATAGCAACATGCTAACAACCACTCAGAACACCTCAACATCCTGGCAGCTGAATGCCACATAGAAAGTGTAAAAATCTATCCAATCAGTTGAACTAGTTCACTAAAATGAATCAGACCTCCCAGTTTACAATTGCTTGGACTTATTTTGCACAGAAAGTGCCAGTGCATTGTGGGTCCAGGGTGATGCAGACAAAAGCCCATCTGAAGCTCAGTCTGGCCGTTTGATTAGTCGCCCATCTTTCTGCCCTGATACTTGCACTTGAACACCCAGGGCTCTGCCGCAGCCGGCACGACAGGTTGGACGGCAGAACCGGCGGCTGAGACCGCAACAAACATGCTCTCAATGCAGCAGAACTAAAGGAAGAGTTAGCCATAAATAATAAAGTAATAATGTCCCATTGCAGATAATTAATTCATATTTTGGTGGGAAGTAAATTATGTCTACTATGGCTATTTGAGTGCTAACCAAAAGTTTATTCTTGAGGAATGAACACAAAATGAATTAAATCTGCAGCCAGCTAGCATGGCCAACATGTTTAAAGTTGACTTCTGTCTGTCTCTCTCTCGCTCTTTCATATACACACAAAGCCCCCTGCCGGGTTTGCAGGAGCAGATCATTACCTCTGCCTCCTCCTGTTTCCTCTCCACAGGGGACTAATGCAACAGAGTGGCTGTTACATTCCCAGGACATGAACATTCAGATTGGACATCTGCTCCATTCTCCGAGTTGATCAGATTCAGACTACACTATACTGATAGAGCCACGGCAAAATACATCACACACCTCATCTGGACACAATAGTGGACCTTTTCCTTTAGGGTTTCCTTTTATTATTACTACTTTTGCTTCAGATCTCTAACCCTAAGAATGAGCAATAATAATATTAATAATGATGATTGTCTTACCTAAATAGTTTGGGTCCATTAACATTAGGCTTGTTGGTTGCACATCGGCTCCATTCTGTGTGTATGACCTGAAAATCCCTATTAGATTCTTCACCGTACCTCCTCATTAGCTGGAGAATTGGAACGGCCATTTGTCAAAAGAGAGAGACTGGGAATAACTGCGGGGAACATTTGAGCTGGCAAATGGTTTTTCAGTACCTGAGCGAACGTCACTCAACCAGACCTCTGTGGATGATAATGTTATGGGGGCCAGAGCTCCCTTCAGCTCGTCTGCAGTTAGAAAGTGTAAAGATCTTTAGAAGAGCGAGGCGAAGCGATTAGAGCTAGTTCAAGTCAGAGAAGGATATTCCTGTGGTGCCAGTGTTGCATTTGTCACTTTCAAAGCCGATTTCACAGCAATTTCAACATTTCTGAATTTTTTTATTTTTTTTGTAGCTGTGAAATGTAAATGTTTGAAATGTAAAATGAGAGGTTGTTTTGACTAGGGCTCGGTCTTCTTTTAACTTGAGGGTGGCCGCAAATGTGTGCTGCAGATTTGAACAACACATGCTTCAAAACAACGTGAAACTGCATTTGCAACACATTTAGCTTCTGTTTCTGTCGATTTTACTGGATTAAAGGGGTCATATGCTACTTTAAAGATCATTATTTTGTGTATTTGGTGTAACAGAATATGTTGACATGCTTTAATGTTCAAAAAACACATTATTTTTCAAATACTGTACATTATTGTAGTTCCTCTCTCAAACGTGTCGTTTTCTACAAAGCCCCTCCTTCCGACAAGCGCAGTTTTCTTTGATTGGCCAGCTGACCCAGTGCATTGTGATTGGTCGAACACCACAAGCACGCGTCGGAAATGTAATGCCCCTTACCATAATCACGAGCTTCAGCTTTCAACATAAATGTAAAGACAGTAAATAATGTCCTTAGTTTTACCATCAGTTCAAGCCCGAAAGTGGAACAGAGTCGCGTGACAGACACAGTGATCATCCTCGTATGTATTTGCAGTACACAAGCCACGATTAAGAAAGCTGACTCCACTGTGATGTGATCCTGTCTCTCTCACGCACACACACGATGCGATACTCTACACATTTGGGCGGCATTATGCAAATATTTCCACATCGTGACGTAGACATGTGGGGGAGTGTTTGAATGAGGCGTTTTAGTCTGGATCAGCCTTCTTTTTTTAGATAGAATAAATCCTTTTATGGGAGACTTTGAGTTTTGTAACTCTGCAGATCTTATACATGCACAAATAGCTACATAACACACTAAAGAAAAAGAAAAATAGAAATCGCATCATATGACCCCTTTAAGAGGCGGTGTTACATTACACACACACACTGTAAAACCGAACAGTGAAATTAATTAAATGAAATTAGTTAACTTCACTCAAATAATAATGAAAGTTCATTGGACTTAATTGAAATAAGTTCTGTAAATTTAAAATGTTGCTGTAGTAAGGTGAACTTAAAATGATTGCGTTTTCTAGTTCCCCGCATGCTTTGCATCAGACAACAAGGAAAATAAATGTAGAAATTAAGTGTTATTTTGTGTGTTTTACACAAGATTAACATAGAGACATAAGTTAGTACTTAAATGTTGTGTTATGTTAGGATTTACATAGGTTTCTGTTATGTTGGTTTTGTAGTGTTACCGTTGTGGTGAGGAATAGAGCCTGTGGCTAGGTTGAGGATGGACAGCAAAACTTATAGACTATTTATACTGCATGTTGTTTGACTATTTCCATGCAAGTATTGTGAGTCTTTTAGATAACTACATTAATACGTGCTAGTGTGCTGTTACTAGCTACCACTTAACTATAAAGATCTGAATGAATGTGCTGTTAATAGAAGCAAGTTGTATATAATTATCATTGTGATGAGTGGGGTAGGACCATGGAAGCGAGGCTTGGCTTGGCTTGGCTCCCATGGCTCTCAGCCCCGCCCCACTTGTCATAAAAATGTTAAGCTCTACTAACTTAAAACAAATTGAGTTGTGTACTCAAATGTTTTGAGTATTCTTAACTTACCAGGTTTTACAGTGCAGATAAAGCAATACTTATGTATAATGCACATCCTTGTCTATTTATTCCACACATAATTAAGACTAAAGATATAAAAAAATGAATCGTAGACATCTACCACAACATTATTTATTTTCTATTACAATAATTAAGGTCACAATCATCTGTAAAGTTGCTGTGAAACAACGTGTATTGTGAAAAGCGTTACACAAATAAACCTGACCTTACTTGACTTGAGTAACTCTTCAAGGGATAGTTCACCCAAAATGAAAATTACCCCATGATTAACTCACCCTCAAGCCATTCCAGGTGTATATGACTTTCTTTGCCTTGCCTTGAATCGGAGCTATATTTAAAAATGTCCCGGCTCTGGGGGTCGAGATTTTGAAGCAAAATAAAGTGCATGCATCCATCATAAAAAGTGCTCTACACTGCTCCAGGGGGTTAATAAAGGCCTTATGAAGTGAATCGATGTGTTTGTGTAAGAAAAATATCCATATCCAACTTAACGTGTAGCGCAAGTAAATCATGGGGTAATTTAAATTTTGGGGTGAATTATCCCTTTAACTAGGAATTTTCCATGAAGAAACTGAAGGCACTATAAGATCAGGGACATTTATTAAGAAAATAAATAGGCTCAGTGTTGATTTCATGATCCAGATGATTCTCTGGATGAGACTAGCCACAGAGACTCTGTTTTAGGCATGCCATTTCTGCACTGTCAACGTCACCAATCGGAAGCGCAAAAGTTGAGGTTTACAGCTTTATTCCCAGTCTTTCATCGGTCGGGCGCCTCATACTCGCACCATCGGTCGAGGCAATGCATCTAACTTCTGATGCATGAAATCTTTAACATTATCTACAGTTTCCATGCAAGGAGTTTATAAATCTACAAATTCTTGGGCAGGTGAAAAAAAAAGACCACACATATGAGCCTTTCTCTGATTCGTTGCCAGTTCTTTTCTTGCCGCTTTTGTGGAATGTACAGGCCTCGCTCAGAACAACACTCCGAAAAGAAAGGGGTTATCAGCCGAATGAGTGAAATATTATGAAGGAATCCTCTCCAAGTCTTCCACATATGTAATTACAGAAATTTGGAAAGAGAAGTTCCACATGAATATTCCCAGAGTTTCTGGGCTAAGTGAAGAGCGAGAGAGACGGGGAGAAAGTGAAACAAATGGAAAAAGACAGATATTCTTCCCCAACCCCCCTCCCCCCTTTTTTGACTAGCTGCACAGCGGTGTCCCAAGGTACAGTCCTGTAAGGAGCAGGTCTGTTCTCCTCGCTAATGAAAGCGCATTGCTCTAATGCCTTCTACTGTGCCATAAAAAGGCTTTTCATACTCTGATAATTTACTACTTGAGCTTTCTTATTTCCGCTCCTGTGAAATAAATTACGCACTTTCCGAGCCATTATGTTAGAAAAGGGTTGAGGTCTCATTTGAAGGAAGAAAAATGTGTGAAAAGATGTTTTAGCGAGGCTTCTTTTATGACCAGAACACCGAATGAAAAAGTGCGCACCTGTGTTTTTTATTTATGCTTTTAAGAAGCGTGTCCATTAGAGGTGTGCAGTACCACGAAACGGGCACACTGATCGAAAATGCTATTTCAGCGTTAATAAGCATGACCCCTTTTAGTTTGTTGTGTGCTGTATATGACATGTTCAAAAGGAAGGGAATATGTATTAATTTAGATGTTCCAGATAAAATGTGTGTGTGTGAGACCCTGCACCACAAAACCAGTCATAAGGGTAAATTTTTCAAAATTGTGATTTATACATCATCTGAAAGCTGAATAAATAAGCTTTCCATCGATGTATGCTTTGTTAGGATAAGACAATATTTGGCAGAGATGCAACTATTTCGGTGCAAAAAAATCTAAATATTGAGAAAATCGCCTTTAAAGTTGTCCAAATGAAGTTCTTAGCAATGCATATTACTAATCAAAAAAATTGTTTTAATATATTTACAGTAGGAAATTTACAAAAGATCTTCATGGAACATGAATATCCTAATGATTTTTGGCATAAAAGAAAAGTCAATAATTTTGACCCATACAATGTATTTTTGGCTATTGCTACAAATATACCCCAGCGACTTAAGACGGAGTTTTGTGCTCCAGGGTAACACACACACACACACATACACACAAGTTGTTTGGCATTAGAAATGGTTTTGCACTCAAAAATGTGTCTTTTTGTTTTTGTGCAGCGATGAAGACGGAAACGGACATCGCCACGAAAGGGAAGACAGCGGTGCCGCGCCCACAACCCTGGAGAGAAGGATAGAGGAGCTAGAAAGGGTACGCTTCTGTGTGTTTACCATCAAGATAGAGCTGCCTATCCTACCTACAGATTTTCACATAGGTCCTGTCCCAAACGGCGCACTTGACGTGAACTTTTGGTCTTGTAGGCTTTCCTCGTACCCATCGAGTCTAATTTTTGCCTCAAACTGCAAAAATGTCAACATTTCAACTGGTTTCTGATGACTTTCTGCTATCTTTTGGCTGACGCTAAATGACGGCCGTTACCGACTGTCTCTCAGTGCAATCCTGACCTTTCTCTGGAAGAGATCTCCATCTGCAGCGCTTTTACAAAACGCCACGAGACCAAACCCCATGCCACTCACTCTCAAATGTCAGCATACTTACAAACCTGGAACCCACACGAAATTGATGTCATATACTGATATTAAATTTCATTTCAGCCTGGGGTCCATATTCAAACCCAGTAAGCCCTGAGTTGTTTTAGTGCCTTATCTTGCGGCGATTTCAAACGGTTTCACATATAACTCTGTGTGACTCAGACAGCACGGTAATAACCTTCAACTTAATTGGCTTCAGATTTTCCATGCAACACATTTCCATGCTGCAAACGCTTTATTTTAATAGCGAGTTGAATATTTCTTAAACCTCGAGATCAGCCGAACAGCGGTCTTAAAGACACACGGCGCATTAAGAGCACACACTTCACGATCGTGAGAGCAACATCTATAGTGACACAGTCAAACGAGGTGCTGCTTTATAGCCCTGCATTATAGTCATAAATATTAATTTGTCTCAGAGGATGTAAGAACATGTTCACATGCTCCTACATGTAGGTGTGCTAGAGGACGAACATTTGTAATGGGGAGAATTGAGAATTTACCTCCTAATTGAAACGAAAAGCTGAGGGGGACACGGACAGCAGATTTCTACGTTGTTTTGAATAACCATGCCTGATGTGCCAAGTTTGTAATAAGAAATTTTTCTGTCCATACTGCAAAGAAATGTCACTATCAAGTTCAATACTGCAGAAATATAATCAAGCAAATAACAAAAAGTGCTTTCTCTTGTACATGTGCAGAGTGTTAATGTAAACTAAGGTGCAAAATCATTTGGAAAAGACCACTATATTGACAATCACCACATTTCCATAACAATGTGTATCAAGTATTCAGCAACCTGCCATGCATAGCTTTAATCATTTGACATGCTAAGAGATCAGTCAATCATAACAGTGCTTATTTGTATATAGAAGTATGAAAGTAAGCAAAGCACTGCACACTACGTACAGTCGTAATTGTGTTTAAGGCTTTGGATCTGATGGAATTGCACTTTCACAGGAGCTGGCCGCGGAGAGACAGGAGACCGGTCGCCTGTTGAAGGCCCACCAGGATAATGACGAGCTGATCGTTAAGCTGAAGGAGGAGATCGACCTGCTAAACCAGGTGAGAAGCCGACAGTGGTCTCGTAACTCCTAAATGAGAGATTTTACAAGTGCACATGTCCAGAAGCATCCTTTCAAATAAGCATTATCTGTCATACTTATTGTCATTTCCCCTTCGATAACCGTATAGCCATTTCATTTGTGTACGGAAACAATGTCGATATAACCGCTATTAACATGTCTATTAATTAGAAGTGACAATTTATAGGCTGCTTGCGCACACACTTCTACAGCATTTTACCTGAAATCAGGGTTCCTATGCATTTTCCATTTCCAAATCTCATACTATTCCAGAATTGCCTGTAGATTTGACAGTGCATATTTAACATGGTTTTAAAATAGCCCAGCCATCTCAGTCAGTATACTTGCATGACATTTTTATGAATTCATTAATCCAAATAATTTAGACCTATATGACCTTTACAAAGATATCAGTTAAAGAGTAGTTTTTAAAATAGTGCAGTTAAGTGAACCCAGTAAACCCAGTAAAAGTAGGCCTTTATAGCAGCAAATTGGTACGGGAAGGTGACAAACAGAGCAGTATCCAAAGAGGCAACTCACGCTTTTTCAGGTGGCACATCAGCTGAAGATTTCCATAAAACAGCAAAAAATTCTTAGTGAAGTAGCCACTGTCATTTTGTTACCAGTGTAAACAAGAGGTGCTTTAGTACTTGTATTTCAGCAGTATCTGCGTGTTTGTCACGCAGAGCATCCCATTAAGTGGAGTCATAATTAAAAGCATCTGCGTCCGATGTGAGCACACTGTTATATTTATAATTGTTTACACCACTAATGGATATTACTCATCCAATAACCTTTCACGCTATTTACTAAGGCATCTCGCAGACTGCGGCTACATATTCCATCGAGTTTGCAGGTGTTTTGCTTTCCGTAAAGCTAGTTTTCCCCCATTCTTTTGGCCTTCCCCAAACAGCCGTGTGTCACGTAGGCAGCAACTAAACAGGAATGACTATCAAACGACCATGTTGCTGTCTCGCAGCAATCAGCTCCATATTGCAAAGGTGCTTAGCGGAAGATTACAAATACAATCATCCTCTGCTTTAGGGTAACAAATGCTCTCAGGTCTTGTTCATTTCCTGACGTATGTGTTTATGTGAGGTGACCTCCACTGAACTGGGCCTGATTGGATATTTGATCAACATTGTAGATACATGGGGGCATCCCATGGGGGTAGAGCACACACATGACATGTCACAGCGGAAGTAGACTGACTCTCCTTGCTTTACGTGTTTATGTTATTGTGAAGCAGATCTTCAGGAGGTCAAGGTTTGGCAGTAATATATGTCACAGATAGTTTAACACGATATTCTTGTTGTTAGATTTTCATGGCACACACATTGAAAGTTAATGTGCTGGTTCACGAAGCGTTATGTTTATGCAGTGAGATGGGTGTGCAGTAGCTTTAATGATGATGCAATCCAACTACAAAAGCTTGCTTGTAAGCAAAGTTGTGCTTTTTCCAGCACTTGTGTGTAGCCATCATGCTTGACAGTCTGGTGTCAGTGACGGTGTTATTATGAGCCCGACAGCACCACACTAGGAAAGCATTGGCTCTTGGCCTTCAGTAAGAATTGGATTGTCTGTGTGAGTGAAGAAATTAGTCTTGAGAATTAGTTGGTTAAGGTGTGCTTATTGATGTGAGGTGAGTGATTGCGAAATGATAAAGGATTTTTGTCAGTACTTGTAATTTATATGTGGGCTGTAGATGAGCCATCTGGTAGTCAGTGCATTTAAAGTGGTTTTACACTGGTAATACATTTAATTAATGTGGTTTAGTTGTGTTATGTAGTGAGATGAATGAAATGTTAAATGGCAGTTCCTGTTGACATTTGTGAAGTAGTTAGAAAGTAAAGTAGTGTGGTCCTTAAAAGCAGCTGAAGTAAAGTAAATTTGCTTTGCTTTATGTAAAGTTAACGAGTCACCATTGGAAGAACGAACTAGCTCAATTACTGGGCCAGGAGCAGTCTTTATAGTTCTTCAGTGTGCGGGTTGAACTTGTATTGCGTCACCACTTCCAACAATCCAAGCCATTGACTGTTTGTGTTCTGTTTTAGTACATAGGGTTACTAATTATATTGGGATGGAGTTTATAGGGTAGAATTGTTGCTGATGTAATTACTGCAATGCAGATTGGTAGTAGAGGTTCTGTTCTTTGTACTTGCATATGTGCGGGTTGCTGAGATGTCATCTGTAGGCATTAGACATGACAAATTGTTCTAAGGTATGCGCATGCCTTTTGCACTGTGGCCTTCTGAAGAGGCTGTGTTCTAAATGAGGTATATGGTAGCTGTTGACATCAATATGTGTAACTGACTTGAAGTAGCAAGAACTGATGCTTGTGTCCTAGAACAGTAAGGTTGAGGGTAATGTGTGCTATTTGCATAGTGTTTATTGTACTAATTTAACAGTGTGTTCCCAACCCTAGGGTCCACCTGCTCGTTGGATGTGTACCAACGAGCAGAAATCAGGTGTTTAATGAGCGAGCTGAGAAGAAATGTATCATGGAGTTGGCAAAGGTGGCTAAATATTTATTCAAAGCAACTAACTAAGTGAAGAAGAACAGTAAAAAGCAATATATTTAATTAGGGCTGCATGATAAATCGCATGTGATTGTCAAGCGCATCTCGTCAGTAAAGCCGGTTCTGTGATTAGTAGTAAATCTCCATCACGTGCTTTCAGATGGAGCGGCATTTAATACAGAGCTGTAGTTCACTGACAAGCTACTCAATATCGCGCTCATAATCGCCCTGTTGACATTTGTGAAGTAGTTAGAAAGTAAAGTAGTGTGGTCCTTAAAAGCAGCTGAAGTAAAGTAAATTTGCTTTGCTTTGCTTTATGTAAAGTTAACGAGTCACCATTGGAAGAAAGAACTAGCTCAATTACTGGGCCAGGAGCAGTCTTTATAGTTCTTCAGTGTGCGGGTTGAACTTGTATTGCGTCACCACTTCCAACAATCCAAGCCATTGACTGTTTGTGTTCTGTTTTAGTACATAGGGTTACTAATTATATTGGGATGGAGTTTATAGGGTAGAATTGTTGCTGATGTAATTACTGCAATGCAGATTGGTAGTAGAGGTTCTGTTCTTTGTACTTGCATATGTGCGGGTTGCTGAGATGTCATCTGTAGGCATTAGACATGACAAATTGTTCTAAGGTATGCGCATGCCTTTTGCACTGTGGCCTTCTGAAGAGGCTGTGTTCTAAATGAGGTATATGGTAGCTGTTGACATCAATATGTGTAACTGACTTGAAGTAGCAAGAACTGATGCTTGTGTCCTAGAACAGTAAGGTTGAGGGTAATGTGTGCTATTTGCATAGTGTTTATTGTACTAATTTAACAGTGTGTTCCCAACCCTAGGGTCCACCTGCTCGTTGGATGTGTACCAACGAGCAGAAATCAGGTGTTTAATGAGCGAGCTGAGAAGAAATGTATCATGGAGTTGGCAAAGGTGGCTAAATATTTATTCAAAGCAACTAACTAAGTGAAGAAGAACAGTAAAAAGCAATATATTTAATTAGGGCTGCATGATAAATCGCATGTGATTGTCAAGCGCATCTCGTCAGTAAAGCCGGTTCTGTGATTAGTAGTAAATCTCCATCACGTGCTTTCAGATGGAGCGGCATTTAATACAGAGCTGTAGTTCACTGACAAGCTACTCAATATCGCGCTCATAATCGCTTATGAACGCGATACTGCGTAGCTTGTCCGCGAGCTACGGCTCTGTGTATTAAATGCCGCTCCATCTGAAAGCACGTGATGGAGATTTACTACTAATCACAGAACTGACTTTACTGACGAGATAAGCATGACAATCACTTGCGATTTATCGTGCAGTCCTATATTTAATGAGGCCACAATCTCAGCAATAAGTATACATACAATGTGAAATGTGTTGAGCGTAGTCCTGGTAGAAGCTCAAGCGTTGCAGATCTGGAAGCAGAGCAAAGGCAAGCAAGCGTTAGTAAAAGAGCAAGGCATAGAATGGAACAACAGGAGTGAGTGGCATACTGTAGCAGCTGCTAGGTCGAGTCGCCCACGGCTGCTTCAATACTCTGCTCGTGAACCAATAGCGCATAGCCTAAACCTATGACCTCACTTCCCATAGCTGTGGGCCTACTTCTCACTCCAAACCTGATTCCAATCATTAGCTCGTTACTACATCAGTTGGGCGCAGCTGAAATGTGAATGTGGTGCTGTATTCATAGCAAAGTTCTAAATAAATATTGTACGCATTATATATAAGGAAAGTGATTTAGGGCTGAACTAAAATCCTACGCCAAAGGAAATTTAGAGCGAGAGAGAGAATTCATTGAAATATTAAAAAAACCTCAATACAATGTAAACACTATGCTTTTATTTTGACAGCCCTTGTATTACATCATTCCAAAATCATAACCAAAAAAAAAAAAACACCACATACAAACACACTTTCAATACAATATAACAAGAGAAAAAAAATGAACTTGCTTCTACATCTTTAAAATCAGGACCTGCATTAGTTATAGAGATCCACTTCTGTACAGCAAATCTATAATACCTGGTATTTCTTCACCAGAAACATCGAGACATGCACCAAACACAATGGGCTCATCCAGAAGCCAGTACAAAGACATCAGTGGTTCCATCCACTGATGTTTAAACAGACTTCGATAGAAAACAGGAATTCCTTTCAAATCAAGTTTTTTTTAGAATCCATTAAAAACAAAACTGTGTCCAAGCCAAGTCCACTCTGCATAGAATGCATTGAGGGTGTGTTCACACTTGTCATGTTTGGTTCGATTAAAACGAAGCCTGGTGCGATTGCTCTGTAAGTGTGGTTTGTTTAAGTGTGAACGCTGCCATCCAAACCCTGGTGCGCACCAAACAACAGTTTTGCACCGCACCAGTGTTCGTTTGAAAGCGGACAGAGGCCTGTCTTTTTAGCAGTCTCTGTCCGCTTTCGAATGAAATATGAACACAACACGGACCAAAAACAGGAA